CGACAACCGTGGCGAACCGATGTACCCGACCGTTTCTATTCGTCAACTGACCAACTGTTCGAACGGTTCCAACGACGCCGGCGCCGACGCCGACGCCGACGCCGACGAGGAACGGTTTGCGACGACAAAGACAAACTTCTCGATTCATAGGGGAGCAGAGGGACTAGGGAGAGTGCGAAAGAAACTAGAAGATAAACGGATCGGAAGAATGCAAAGATCTCAGCCGAGAAAGAATCTTGTCCTTGTCGTTTCGAATATACCGATCAGTCGGTAAAATAATGATAGACAACGACATTATCGGTTTAAGAAAGTAGTCGATCAAGAGCGAAAGTCTAACGAAACCTACAGAAGAATAACAGAGGCGCGAAGGAAACGCGAGAGAAGAGGAAAAAGAAAAGAAACTAAAGAGACTGTGCTCTAATAGATGCAGAAAGGGAAGAACGAAGCGGCGAGTAATATTGGAAAAGGGACAAGCAACGGTAGGCTCGAATCGAGGATAGTTTTTAGACAGAGGCGAAACGGTAGTGGGCCATCGATCGTTTGGGCACGGCCGTCGATGTTGACTGAATCTCAGAACCTTTTATCACTGATGTTGCGTTGCGTTCAGTTGCGTTCAGTTGCGTTCAGTTGCGGTGCAATAGAATTTCCCTTTGAATATCTTTCGTTCAACGATGTGTACGCGTACGAAGCAAATTCCCAGCAGAAATTTCAAACTGATCGGGCACGATCGGACAACACATTTTCACGCACGCTATACGCGACAATAATAAGTGAACTTTGAATTCAATGTTGCAACGAAATCTATTACATTACACGAAATCGCATAATTCTTCCGTTTTTGTGTTGTATTTTTTGCTCGACGCGGAGAATGACTCGTCTAATGCGAAATCTAGAATAATAGCCAATAATCTATCCGAATGATGTAAGTTCGTAATGGGATATATTTTGACGATTGACACGTAAAAGAACGTAATAGCTCGAACTAAACAGAATAAATTATTTTCCGAGAGTATTCGTTGAAAACGCGAATCCGTTCGATTGGCAGGTAGTTGTCGCGATGTTGAGTAAAACGACGAATCAAATGAAGATGAATAAATCGACGATTTATGCTTCTGGTTTGGAGTAATTCAACGAAATCGGAAACCGAAAAACTTTGAGGAACTTTGAAAAACTTTGAAAGACACTCGTGACCCAGCACAAGGCTATGTTATTTGCTTTCACAAAGTCAGTACGATTGCCCGAAATTCTGGCCGCTTGCCAGCTATCAAAAAATAGGTTATCGATCGATCGCATTCACTCACAGGCTCGCTCGCTCGCTCGCTCGTTCGCTCGTTCGCGCCACGTATATAAATTACAATAGCAGATTTTCCGACAAAACTCCTTCAACTTTTTCAACTTTTTCAATGTCGATTCTTCCATTAAAAGCATCGTCCTTCCGAAATGTTCGTTGTATTTCAAGTTGAAGTTGATAGTCTCTCGAGTCGTTATTCGGAATACGAATACCCTTTGGGAAGAATCTTCAACCGTTTCGAATTGAAAGGAAACGCTTCGACGTCGTAGCCCTAGGAAAACTACGAAATTTCGCATGCAATTCTCTCTCCGTGAATATTTGAATTTCCTTTCGTTTATGGCGCGCGAATGAGAACAGTGACATCTAGAAACGAATGAAGCAACGTACACGACGATTACCACAGACTCGAGATACGTACAGAGGTTGCAGCTTATGGGAACTATCGTCCTCGGGACCCCCGTACCATCTCGCTGTCACGCCCTTGGTTACCGATCATACACAACATTTTAAGCTTGTTAGTAGGAATCGACCTAATAATTGTATAGTTAAAATGTTGTATTGTCAATACGATCGGTAACCAAGAGCGTGACAACGAGATGGTACGGGGGTCCCGAGGACGATAATTCCCATAAGCTGCAACGTCTGTGTGTATCTCGAGTCTGTGCCACTACGGAACAAGTGAGTGTAATATTTCGAGGGGGCGAATAAAATGTGTGTACGTCAAAGTACAGTAGTAGACAAAATTACCGACTCAGGATGTAACTTGGCCGCGTATAAACGTCCGTGGAGACTACCGAAACTATCGCTTACGCGTATATTTTGGTTCGTGTGTATTATTAAAATGTATATGTATATACGTATAAGATGTATGCAATTATTTCGATAGTTGTAAATATTTGATGTAGCGTTTAGTAGGCAACCGAGTACGCGTGCATGCGAGTAAGTAGCCGAGCGAGTACACGAGCGAGTACTTTATTTGTCCGTAGTATTGTACACTTTACTCTGTACGAGATACTTTTGTTCGTCGCTGTACGTACTCTCGCTCTTTGTCTGACGGAAGCGAGAACGGACGCGAGCAGACTAGGATGTCGATGCGTGAAAGTTTAGCAGAAATCGGTTAACGGTGGAAAGAAAAGTCAATTACCACGAGATTTCTTCAGGATAATTGGCCATCCGTTCGAATCATGTGCAACGTTAAAGCAGTGCGGCGAACCCGAAACTCTCGTATGCAGAGTGTTTTTGCGTCGAGCGAACCAACATGGAAGTAACCTGTTTATCGGTTCCAGAATATTTGCATCTTTACGGTGACATTTTCGAGAATCTGCACCGAAAGAACAGACACATTGGACCCGTAGCTGATCCGCAACGATGTCGATCATGAACAATTGATCGCACGGAAAACGAAAGAGACAGACAGGCAGGCAGGCAGGCAGGCAGGCAGGCAGGCAGGCAGCAGGCAGGCGTCGAGCGAAACACTGTCATCATGTATCAATTACTACATCTTCGCAATCGTCCTTTACAAATGCTTATTCTTGGACTGATCGGATTGACATTTTACGCGTATTATCGCACTACTTATTACGATGTCCCACAGTACGCGATGTCTCGGAATATCAGTAAGTATTTCAGTTTGCGTCTTCTTATTTCGTTTCCAGTATCAGAGATACTTTATCCCCGTATAGGTCGTGACGCGTATCAAGAGGCATTCAAGCAACATGTAAACGCAACCATCGACCAGCATGTTGCCACGGCGCCTAAAAATGCTTCCTCCGAGCCGTTTGTATTTGCTCCGTATAATCTGCAAATTATCGCCAATCTGTCGAGTTCCGCGGCAACGACTTCGTCTACGTCGTCGACTTCTCTGATTCAATCTTCGGTAAACGTTTCCAACGAAACCAAAGAGGCAGCTGCCGCTGCTGCTGCTGCTGCTGCTGCTGCTGCTGCTGCTGCTGCTGCTGCTTCTCCTAACGAGTATCTGGCACGTACCATTTACGAGGCTGGCCACACGGTACCTATACCGGAAAGGTGTCCAAATTTTGGCAAGGAAATGGACCTGGTCATAATAATAATGTCTGCGCCTACCCACTTAGAGGCACGAACGGCTATACGACAAACATGGGGTCATTTCGGTCAGAGAAGCGACATTAGCATCTTATTCATGTTGGGTGCGACGCTAGATTCCAGAATAGAAGTGATTTTAAAGAAAGAACAGAAAACTTACAACGACGTGATACGTGGGAAGTTTTTAGATTCCTATTCAAATTTGACGCTTAAAACGATTTCTACTTTGGAATGGGTAGACAGTTATTGTTCCAAAGTGAAGTTTTTATTGAAGACGGACGACGACATGTTCATTAACGTCCCGCGTTTGCAATCGTTCGCGATGAAACATGCGAAAGATAGGAACGTAATATTTGGTAGATTGGCGAAAAAGTGGAAACCGATCAGAAACAAGAAAAGCAAGTACTACGTATCTAGAACACAATTCAAGAACGCCGTTTTTCCAGATTTTACTACTGGACCAGCTTATCTGTTGTCTACCGATATAGTACGCAAGTTGTACGAAGCCGCGTTGGATCAGACGTATTTGAAGCTCGAAGATGTTTTCGTGACTGGAATCGTTGCCGATAAACTGAAAATTAAAAGGACACATGCCAACGAATTCTTAAACAAAAAGATATCGTACAGTGCTTACAATGTTCAACGGAGCATCAGTATCCACATGGTTAAATATAGCGAACAGTTTGATCTTTGGAAAAAATTACTCGACGGAAAGAGCAAATGTAAGTGATGTGTATGGTAGTCGCGTGAATCTCTCTATTTTCTCGATGTATTCGATATCAACTGCTTGCGTCGCGTCGACGCTTTTTCCTACTCGTTTATCGATTTGTATTCGGTGGTCTCGGTCGAACACACACGTTTTTCTCGTTTCAACGGTAAGCTAATCAACATTTCTGTAACGCATTCGAACAACGCCGAAATCGTAAATCCTCGCTATTCGTTGCTCGTCAAGTGTCAAGTATTTGTCTATCGAGTTCAATTGGAAATCTTCTCTTACACAATTTTGCTGTTGTTGCGATCGTTGCGGTCGTTGCGGTCGTTGCGATCGTTGCGATCATCACGGAAGATATGTAAGCATTTACCGTAAACCACGTACCGATCAAAACTCATTTAGAATTGCATCTTTCGTTGAAACACCTAATAATTGTTTCTACATTGCGAACTGAACGTTGGACGTGTAACTTTGGCAATTACATGGTCGCAATGAGAAAATCCATTCTTCTACTGTACAGTGCCATATACATGAGTGGAAAGGTACCGATAAACTTTTGAAATCTTTTCAAATGATCGCATCGCATTGCATTATTCGAGTTTGTCGTCTTTAAAACGCGCAATCGAAGGGAATTGGTTAAAGAGGGGGCAGGACGAAGACGACGAACATCAAGATGGGGTCTATCCAAGGTACGTGTTTTTCATTTGTACTCGAATCCGTTGTGTGCAAACTTATCGATACTTTCGTCTTTCTCTCGTTCTTATCATTTGTTCATCTTCCTTCATCCTTCATCCTTGATCTCTCGTCGAACGAACACGATGTTGCGGAACCGCAAATACGTTATTGTATTCGGACGAGCTGCATATCCTCCCCTCGAATCGAATCGACCAACGACCGCAACTTTCAGCAAAATATTCCATTTCCGACAAACAACTGGATAATCGGTTACAGTTTGTCGTCTGTAATTGTTCGATGTGTCGAATACCAAGTAATTTGCTTAACAGTCGTTTGGTCAATGATTTTCTTCTCTTCGAAAATCTTCTTTCATCGTATTCTCGAAGAAATTTCTTATTCTTTTACATCGAGTACTTATGCGGTACACACACACACACACACACACACAGAGAGAGAGAGAGAGAGAGAGAGAGAGACACACATTAGCTTCTTCCGGAAACTAACGAACAATATATCGATTCACCGATAAATACTCGAACGCTCTCTAATTGAAGTCATTACCGGACTTGCGGTGGTACGTTGATGGAAAGTTGGCGCTGTGCCGCGATGGCATAGGGGCAAGAGGGGACTTTACTTTCGCTGTATGTTTTGTTTATGGTACTGTTGAATTAATCGAATTATGCGATTGTATCGGCGAATAATATACCAGTAACGAAAATGCGCGTGAGAAAACGACGTATCACCTTCCACTCTGACCAATGAGACTCACATTCGTTTTAGGTAGATAAGGAACTTCTTTCCATCGACACGCCACGCGTGTATCGAGTGTCTCGATTGAAATGCAATTTTTTCAAGGTGTGATATACATACATATATATATTTATATATAAATATATATATGTATATATATATTTTTACGTTAAATTACGTGTACGTATACAAAGGGAATCGTTCTTAGCGAGATTCCGAGGGTCGTGTGTCCCGATAAGAGCAACGACTTTGGATCGTGAAAGTACGCGTGTACCTTATACGCTTTAAAACGTGTCCTTTGCAAGATAGGTGTTGCGCGAACGATGTCGTCGATAACGTTCTCAGCGGACGCCTAAACATCTGGAAATTAAACGTGAAATGCGACTTTTGCGTAGCTATTACGTATATCCAACGTACTTATAGCGCGGCACGCGCAACAATACGCAGAACAAAAACAGCGAAAACCAATTTCGAAATTACGATGCCTTCCAAAATCACCGATATTTCAACAATCGTGCAACGTACGATCATTGTTCGTACAGTGCACGGATATACATCACATTCCATTATGCCGTTTCTACGTTAGCTCCTATTCTCGAACGATTTAGTTTATTTTTATACGGTTCCGTTATCGTAGGTCTCGCGTTAACTCGTACAAATGTGTAATCGACATTCGGTGTTTAATTTTACATTCGACACTATTTTGATACCGATGTCTATACGCTAAATTCATTCCTCGATCAAACAGTTGTCCCTGTTTTCCGCCGTGTTGTTATATAGTACATGGAACATTCAGAACAAAATCGCGATCGATAGTCTGAAATTGTATATAAACTGCCGTCAGCGTGAGTGGACGATACACCGATCGTCTCGCGAGGCGACACATTACATTCGTTTCTTTTCTTTTTTCCTTGTC